ATTGTGCATAAGAAGCTCTGGCGGCACAATGGTTACTCAAATGTTCAAATTTGAACTGAATCACAATTGAACATGCTAAGGTGTAGCATACCTTGCAGACTTGTCTTCTGTGTGCTACCACCTAAAATAAACCCACTTTGTTGAAATCGGTAGTGTTGTGGATAATGTAACTTGGAAACCCCAGGAAAGTTCTGGTGCTTTGAAGATTGGCCTCATCAACTACAGCCAGGATTGAAATGTCATTGTTAAAGTTGTCTCCCGTGCCCCACTTTCCTAGTTTCCTGTGAAAATCAAATAGTTTTAGGAAATATCAAATACTAATCTTAATCTTAACAATGGAGATTTGTCTGTCTTACTTTGCCCCTGAGTAGAGGCATCTGAGGAACGTAAAGACTGAGCCAACTGGATCCCCATAAGAAGGAGAACCTAAGGGGCATGTCAACTAAGTTCACAGCGAGCTGTGCCTGAGAGTGTGTTTCTGCAAGGTGAGATTTAGGGGCTGCTTGTTATTGCAGCACAGACTAGCCTATCCTGACCAAACGCTCCATTAGGAGATAATACTCCCATTTTCCTAGGTCAGAGATTTAGATTTAGGCAACGAGTCCATGATTACTAAGAAGGGATATAAAATTTTTCTCTTAAGGGATATATTTTAGCTGTCAATTTTTGAGCCTTTAAATTGTGGCAAACACAATGTTAAATGCTATACATGGATGGATTTTAATTAGTATTTTAAAAATTCTCACAAAATGACACAGGAGTCATTTTATAGCTGAGCAAACAGACACTGAAAACATTTAACTGACTTGATCACACAGAAAGCTACACGTGAGGGACAAGGACCCACAAGGACCCTGCATACGCTAAGCCAGCAGTTCTCAACCTGTGGGTTGCGACCCCTTTGGGGTTCGAAAGACCCTTTCACAGGGGTCGCCCAATTCATAACAGTAGCAAAATTACAGTTATGAAGTAGCAGTGAAAATAATTGTATGGTTGGGCGTGGACACCACAACGTGAGGAACTATTAAAGGGTTGTGGCATTAGGAAGGTTGAGACCCACTGCACTAGGCCAGCTAGTTCCAGAGCCTGCCTTCTTTCCATCTCTACAGCAACTCTGGCATCTGGCACAGTTTTAGTGAGAGTTGGGCTCCAATGTCAGTGCAGAAGAACCAAATTGAGTAGCCTCAAAATTGTCCATCTAGATACTTTCCCCATGAAGTATAGCTTACATTGTATGAATTTGTTAAGAATTGTTAAAGCATTTCTTAATACATTCCTACTCATTACTTTGTTTTTTCACAGGCTGAAGTAGATGACCATTTCTCTAATTCAGTACTAAATGGTTCAGTTGGCTTGTACTTAGTGATTAGATTGACATTCAAGACCACATTTCAAATTTTCTGAATTCACATAGAGGAGTACAGGATGGTGATTCAAACAGGTACGCCTTCCACTTCTACCCAGTTTAACTCAAATGCTGGCAGTAGGAGCACAAAAAGGGCCCCACAGGAGAGAGACGGAGCGATCTACCTCTACAAAGTTAACAGCCAAGCAAGCCCTGCGGGGAAGTTCTCGTCTGTTAAACCTGCTGCTCTGAGTTGAAAATTAACGCCTGCACTTAGTATTTGCTACAAGAATGGAATGCTTTGCTAAAAGGAACATGGGTAAAAGAAGGGAAATTGAAGGAGGATTGTATTGCATCATTTATCTTAAAAGTATGGTTTGCACATAAGCAGATGTGCACTCCCTCAGAATGCTTCAAGAGGCCAACCTTTCCCCATGGGGCAGAGGTACACCGGGGCTCATCCAAGTGCAAATTGACAACATCAGGATCAAGTTCATTGAGAGAATGGTGTCCTCTCCTGTTTTGCTAACTGCCTCAGATTCAGAGACCATGTTTTAGTTGTTGATATTCTGTGCATTTGCTTGTTTTAATCCATGGAGTCTGGCCTTTCTGAATTCATCAATGTGGAATAGGTCTGTCTTCTTAAGAGGCAATGGAGGAAAAAAAAAGGAGGAGCTGATTCCAGGAACCCAAGCAGAAAGTGAGTGTTTTGAGACTAATGAGGGCAACAAATGTATAAGTGTGCTTTACACAATTGATGTATGTGTGGATTGTGATAAGAGTTGTATGAGCCCCAATAAAATGATTTTTAAAAAAAAGGAGTATGGGCAAACTTTGTGATAAGGGCTCAGAAAAACAACCTATCAGGTCCAACGGTCACACCAAGCCTGAAATGGGAGAGGAACAAAAGGGGAAGTGGGGCTTAGACCTCGATATACTTACATAAGCTGGGGAAGAGAATAGAGGGAACAGCATTCTCCCATGCAGTGCAGCATTCAAACGTGTCTGCTACGAGATGTAGGAATAAAATAATAGAGTAGCAAAATATTGTCTGGATAGAATAGGCAGAAAACTTAATGAGCGAAAGGAGTCATGGAAATGTTATCAAATTTAGCAATATTTGAAATGAAATTTGAAGACTTAGTAGAAGTTGACTAGGCTGGCCTAAAGCAGAGAGATGGTGTATGTGTGTATATGTTTGTGTCTGTTGCTACCAGTGATGTTCGTGATACATGTTTCTCTATATTAAATAGACACATCTCTATTTTAATATACAAATGTATTATATTAAGTGTATATTACATAATAACTAAATATAGAGAGATGTGTGTTGTTATTCGTTGGAATGGGCTCGATGACTGTGGGTTTGTTTTGGTTTTATCTGTCTTATAAAACATGGGGATTCTGGGGGACGGACAACAGAAAAGTGGGTAAAGGGAGATGTCGGACAGTATATGATAAAAT